AGGGAGGTGACAAGGGCTGAGGGAAAGTGGTGTGCTAGTGTTCTCTGTTTTGTTTTGTGGTCCCAGGATCAAACGCAGGGCCTGACACATGCAAAGCATGTGCTCTACCACTGTGGCCCGGCGGAGCCTGTTGGAACGTCCTTCCTACCCATTCAAATTGTTCATCACCCTTACTTGGATCCCTTTCACTTTTGAATGCAAGAACTCCCCACAGTGTTCTGGGGGCCAGAGGCACAACTGGTGACACTGATCTGGGCCTGCCAAGAGCAGGAGGGGAGTGACCTGCTGCACTCTGATGGAGGGGCAGGGACGAAGAGACAGGCTGACCCAGAGGCAGGAGAGGAGGGAGCCTAGGGCACATGCCAGTGTAGGCCTAGAAGGTACAGCCAGAAGAGGTTAAGAAATTTTTTGGGAAAAAAATCCTGTCAGAACTATAGGCTAGAGAGCCCACTTATGAAGTGGAAGCTGCCTCTCCAAACTCCAAAGGGCGTGTTCTGTTGTGTTTGAGCACACGCTGGGTCTGATCCCCACCAGAGCATATATACACCCATACACACATGCGTGCGCACACACACACACACACACGCATACACATACACACCTACCCTGCTCACCACTCACCCCTTGTAGGTAGGACTTATAGAAGGAAAAACAAGACATCCACACCTCGTCCTCACGGAGGCTGCAGTATGCTCTGTCCTCATGAGGACCAGGGCGCAGGCAGCCTGCTGGACAACTCTCCTCTTGAGCGAAGATCGGGATCAGGACCACTGTGCAAGTCTGGATCGCCTACACGCCCTGACATTACTGCAGGCCAGCTGTAGGCTGGACTAGATGTCCTTATAGTCGGCAGGAGAAACCTCCCTCCCGCCCAAGGACGAGACATTAAAGAAACATCAGAGGTAGAAAATGGTCTATATTTATTTATACCCCATGTCCTTGTTTATGTGTGTTTTCGACCAAGTTCTTCCCTACAGGAAATATGGCTATCCTGTGTTCTGGGGTATCTGGTGATTCATTTTCTTCAACCTGGTATGAACTGGGGAGAAAAACATGTGATGGAGGGGGACCGAAGCAATAGCACAATGAGCAGGGCACTTGCCTTGCACGCGGCAGACTCTGGTGGGATTCCGAGCACCCATATGGTCCCCTGAACACTGCCAGGAGTGATCCCTGAGCACTCTAGAGCAGGAGTGAGCCCTGAGCACCTGGGGTATGGGCCCCAGGCAAACAAAAAAAAACCAAACAAGCAAAATGGGCTGGAGCAAGCACAGGATTGGACGGACCCAGGACTTGGTGGCCCTGGCTTTGGAAGTAGGGGACCCACCAGTCACTTCACTAGTTTCTTGCACAGAGTGAGCAGACCCAGGGCAGAGGCTTTGTCTCCGTGCTTCTATCATCATTAGAGGGAGGAATCAACCCACTGATTCCTCAAAGTGCCTTCCCTGGAGGAAATAAAGCCCAGCAGCTTGTTTAGAGACACTTTTAGAAATAAGATTTGACTGACATCTGCTGGACTTTCAGTGAAGTGCTGCAGGCATGGTCTCCACTCTGTTATTTTATAGACTCAAGTCCTCAAGCACAAATTTCAATTTTGGAAGATGTACAAAATTAAGTATACCTTTCTAATTGTCAGGAACTCAGCAAGTGTAATATAGATGACATGTAGCAAGTAGTAAACCATTATAAGTTTAACTTTTACATGATTTTAAATTGTAGTTAATCAGGGGCACCAACCACATTCAGAAAGGTATGGAACTAGTTTCATGTATCACCATTACATAGTTTCAGATCATTTTCAGACCAAAAGGAAAGCCTGCATTCAGTTAGCAGCAACTCTTATTTCTGTTTCAAGAAAGAACACAATTTCTTTCTTCCCTTAAAAAAAATCTCTCCCTTTCTTTCCATTTTTGGCATTACTGTGCTGACTGGGGAGTCACGGTCTCGCCAAGGACCCTACTCTGCTCACTCGCACCGGGCACAGGGCTCTGTCCTGCGTTGCATTGCTCGTGCAGACTGCTGTGCTGGCCAGTGCTCACTGTGGTGCTGCTCCCACACACACTGCCCACAGCTGCTGTGGCCCCAGGCAGTCTCAGTGATGGGGCCTGTTTAGTGCTTGTGGGTGGTCTGGCGACCAAAGTCACGTTCTCATACTTGCAAGGCAGGCACCTTTGGACCCTGATAATCCTTTAGGAAATATGTTTATTTAATGGTGCTGGGGGTGGAACGCAGGTACCTACACCTTTGGTCACTTACACTGACCTCTTGTTGAGGCTCGTCTGGCACAGCTGCTCTGCGGGAACTGCCTGCTCCCGTGGCTGCCATTCTAACTGGACTTGCTGCTGCAGCAGCAGGACCTCCTGGGACAGTATCCTTCAGCTTTCACACACCTGGCTGACGAGCGTCTGGGAACCACATGTGGCATGAGGACCACCAACAGCTGCATCGCCAGGTTTGGGCATGACACACGTGCTGGCATCAGAGACTGGGTTATTACCTCATGCAAGCAAGGCAGGGCTCTAGACACTGAGGACAATCTCAGTCTGAGTAAGGGGGTTGCCCCGGGCAGGATTTTCATTTCACGTCAAACGAGCAGCATACAGGTAGGGCCTCTGGGGCACTCATTGAGTTTGGGGGTCTTGAGCAGTACTGGACAGTATTAGGAAAGAATAGTTCCCACATTAAAGTGATAGAAGGGAAAAAAAATATCTAATGTTTCTATCTCAAAACCAACTAAAACTATGAGGGAACTTAGGAACGCACACGCACACAAACACACAGAACCAGGAAAATAGGCAACAATATTGGAAGCTGTGAAACCTGTAAAAGAATTTTAGCAGGGGGCTGGAGTGATAGTACAGCAGGTAGGGTGTTTGCCTTGCCTTGCGACCAACCTGGGTTCGATTCCCAGCATCCAATATGGTCCCCAGAGCACTGCCAGGAGTGACTCCTGAGTGCAGAACCAGGAGTAACCCCTGAGCACCACCAGGTGTGACCGAAAAAGAAAAAAAAAGAATTTTAGCCAGGGCTGGAGAGATAGTACAACCAGGAGTGTTTTTGCCTTGCATGCAGCTGACCTGGTTCGATCCCCAGCATCCCAGAATAGAGCACTGAACCCTGTCAAGAGTAATTCCTGAGTGCAGAGCCAGAAGAAACCCTGAGCATCACTGGGTGTGAACAAAAACAGAAACAAAAAGGCTTTAAGATAGGCACAATTTAGAATCTAAGAACCATAATCATAAGGTAAAGAAGTCATAGCTACAGATTCCAACTATAATTATTTACACTGGCAATTTTTATACAAAAGTTAACAACCCAAACCATTAGTTTTTGCCTAGTTAATCAGATTTGACTGGGAAGACCCTGAGACAGCCTAAAGATCTACACAGAGCTTCCCACCGTGGCCCCTTCTGACCTTCCCATCTTGTGGTCCCCCAGCCTGGCCCTGGGGCCTGTCCCATTTGGGACCCTTGGACTATCCTGCGGGTGTGCTCATGGTTCCTGATTGAGTCATGATGGTTTAGAGAATATTTTCTAGTTGCAAGAGGTCTTGAAATAGTCATTCATTAGTAAGGTTGGAGTAAACCCTGACCTGGACTTTGTCTTTGTGAAACAAGTATGTCTTTGTGAACAAATGTCTTTGTGAAACAAGTATGTGTTTCCCTAAAGTTTCAAATTTTGGGAGAGTAAAGGCAGATGCTATGACCAAAAGCCATTCAGGTATTAAAATGGCACTCAGGAAATGTTTTGCAATGAAGCCCAATTTTCCTGTTGATTTCCTCCACCTGGACGAAGCTACCCAGTCAGCGAAGATCAGACTGGAAGGGGGAGCCCGGTCAGCAACAAGGCAGCTGACAGACGCAGGAGGGACACCTTCAGTGGACACCGGGCCTCAGTGTGCCTGGGAAGACAGTGAAAATATCACCGAAAGGTAGGGACTAGTAGGGACCTACAGACTACTGCCGTCTGTGGTAATAGCACAAGAAAGCAGACTACACGCTTTCCTTTACAGCTGCCATACAAGTGTGATGTACCCACTAGCAAACTGTAAACCCTTCAAACAGATCACGCAGAAAAAGGATTAGATTCACAGGCAAAAAGGACAATATGGTGTACACAATTTATATTTTTAGTTTGGGGGGTTATAACTGGCGGTGATTCTGTGCTTTTAGGTGATGCTGGCTTTGCTTGGTGACCATATGTAGGGCTGAGGATTCGTCACATGTAAGGTAAATATCTTAGTTCCTATACTATCTCTCCAGCCTTTGGTATAAGCATTTTAAATTTTTTATTTTGGGGGGGTCACATGTGGTAGTTCTCAGGGATCACTCCTGGCAGCCCAGGGGACTATATGTGGTGCTGGGGATTGAACCTGGGTTGGTTTTATGCAAGGTGAGCTCCCTACCTGTTGTACTATGTCTCAGCCTGTGGTATAGACATTTAAATAAATATAAAACACTTTCATATGAAATGTTGTGATTTGTATGACATTCAGTATTAATTTCATTATCAGTCATATATGTTTTATATATGTACACATATATATAACAGGTATATGTTAAGGCAGCATATAGAATCTAAGACTCTAATTATGCACCTAAGTTACCCTCCTTGGTATTTTCATGATTCTAAGATAAATTATTAACAAAATAAATTTTATTAAAACAAATCATTAATAAATATTCCCTCAAATTTTTCAGACAACACTAAAAATAACTTGTATCCATGTACTATGGATTTTCCAATGATAAATACCAGTCGATGGTTGGCTGGTCATTAAATGAAAAAAGTAAAATGACTTGGAACTGGGCCACAATGTACAGAATATAAAACTTTTCATTTTCACCCTGTAATTCACAGCCTAAAATTTGTAGTTGCAGAACGCGGCGTCAGGACGCACCCCGCGCGCGGTCCATCCTTTGCAGGAGTGAGCGGCTGCGATGATGCAGCTCAGGATGCACCCTGCCCCCGGTCCATCCTGCACAGGAGCGCGGGCAGCTCCAGGGATGCGGCTCAGGACTCGCCTCGCTCGCGGTCCATCCTGCGCAGGAGCTCGGGCAGCTCCAGCACGGAGGCCACGATGTAGTGTGGCGTGGGCGAGCCCGCGGGCGGGCCTGCTGCCCCGGCATTCACCCAGACTGTGGCGCCCAGCCCCGCGTTGAGGCCGCCTTGGATGTCGGTGTCCAGTGTGTCCCCCACCATGACGCAGTCTGCAGGCTGTACCCCGAGGAGGTCGCAGCAGTGGTGGAATATGGAGGGCGCCGGCTTCTCCTCCACCTGCTCCCCACCCACGACCACGGCGTCAAAACAGGGCTCGCAGCCGCACGCCTCGATCTTCTCCCGCTGGGTCTGCCTGTCCCCGTTGGTCAGTAACAGCAGCTGGAAGTCCTGCCGCAGCTCAGCGAGCATGGCCCTGACGTCTTCCTCCAGCACCATGTGCTGCAGGCGTGTGGATTTCCACAGGAGGTAGCACTCTGCGGCTAGCGTCCGGTTGGGTGGGCCGCCTTTGGTCTCCAGGATCGCCTCTTCCCAGTGGGTGGTCCGCAGGTCGGTGATGCATGTGCTGGCGGGGTGGGAGCACTCCTGGCTGAGTTTGACCTGAACTTTGTCACAGATGACTTCAGCTTCGTCTTTGTAATGGTATTTTGATTGTAAGAGTTTTATCACCTAAAGAAATGGAAATAGCTTCATCAACTCAACCCCGTTTTTAACAGTTATGCCCCTGAGATGCTATCATCTAGATTCCACCTGCATGCTTTCTCCTTTTTTTGTTTTTTGCAGCGTCAGGAATGGAACCGAGGTCCCCCCATGTGCCAGCCACATCCCGGGCCTCCCACTCCTGTCTGAGGCCACTCTATTACCATATTTATCTACATTTCAAAGAATACCAGAGAGAAGATTTCTCAATCCTACAGACAACTCATAGTCTTTGTTTTGAGCCACACCCAGTCGTGCCTGGGGTCCATCTATAGTGTTTGGGATCAAACTCAAGTCAGCTCATGCAAGCACCCTACCCACTGGCCCTCACCCGGTCTTTTTTCACTTAACTAACTTCTGACACAATTCATCTCAGAACAGAAGTTAACTAAATATATCACTATTAGAGACCTACTACTATTCTGGTCATGAAACAAAACCTGTATTTTTCTTTCTTTTCTTTTTGGGCCACATTCGGCGATGCACAGGGGCTACTCCTGGCTCATGCACTCAGGAATTACTCTTGGAGGTGCTCGGGGGATCATATGGGATGCTGGGGATGGAACCTGGGTCGACCACATGCAAGTCAAATGCTGTGCTATCTGCTGTGCTATCGCTCCAGCCCCTGTATTTTAATCTTTAATAAAACCTCTACAATTTTTGGCAACCATTAGACTGTTACATAAACAGAAACCTAGTTCATCTAATTGTTCTCCATCTGTGTCCTCTTTACTTTTAGAAGGTCTAAAATGACCCTTACATAAAGTGTGACCTAATTGCTCTTTTGAAATTCTGACTCCTTCATCCCTTTACTTGTGCTTTTCATTACTCCATGCTCTTATCCGTTGCCTGACAGAGACTAACGGTTCAGGCAGCAATCCTGTTATTGTCATTCAACTTTATTCAAACACCATCTACAGAACGTGGCCCAATCTAATCTATCATTTAAAACAGTGATTTGCTCTCCTCTCCACTTTTTCTAACATCCTTATTAATAAATGTGTTATGGGTAAATGGGGGGGCGGGTAATGAGTTTTTAAGAAATAATAAAATTTAAGAAATTGCCCAGCTCGGGGCAACTGCTTCTGCAGAGTAACAAAAGCAGACTTAGATTTTCCTTCTATACCGGCACCTGTGTCTTTGCCTTCGTCCCTAAATAATGTCACTCTGTCTTTGTTGTTAGGAGATTATAGACTTGCCAGGTCACTGGGCATCTTTTCTAGGTGCCAGTCACTTGATCACTTGACATCCCATTACTCATCGATTTGCTCGAGCGGGAGCCAGTAACGTCTCCATTCATCCCTGTCGTGTGCTAGTGTAGCCCAATGGCATCTGCTTGTTCTAGGAACACGAAGAGCCTCAAAGTGATCGTTCAGGGTCTTGATGAAGAAGTCTGACCATCTCATGTATGGCTGCCCACCTACAAGGTGTGTGCCTTGCACACAGCCCACCGGGTGCAACCCGGGATCCCACACCATCCGTTGTGCAGACTCAGGAGCAACCCTGAGCATCAGGGGTTTGACCCAAAAATAAAGAATATGAAGAGCTGAGCAGTCAGGAGCACAGTGCATGAAGAGAGGGTGGAGCAATAAAAGAAACAGGGACATGAAGGGAACCAGGGGCTGGAGAGGCTGGCGTGTGCCTTGCTTTTGGTAAGGCTGTGATAGATTCCTGGCACCCTCTCCGTCTATACAAGGGGAGCTCCCGCAGCAGAGCCGGAAGTATGCCCTTGAGCTCCCGGGTTGTGGCCCGCAAACAAACAAGGACAGGAACACGGAACTAAAGGAAGCTTGAAAAGGACAGGATACTGGGATTGTCACAGGGGGAAACTGGCAGTGTGCAGCTCATGGTTTCCTCCTTAAAGCGGGGCAGCTCAGGACAGGGTCTGCACAGCAGCTGCAGGCAGGGATGGGAGGGCGCAGCGGGCAACACTCGTGAGTAGGCCCCGTGAAGAGTGGACTTTCCTTCCTTCCTGATCGGAGTCCAGACCCAGCAGGGAGACCGGAGGTGGCACACGCGGAAGTTCCTCATCAGACCCGCACACCTAGGCACTGACGGTGGCAGCTGACCAGGTCACTGCCTCCTTACATCAACTGCTTCCTTACACCACAAAAAAGATGCATCCCAGAAACGGAAAGGGGAAGGCCCCAGGCACGTCGCTGCGCAGTCACCCAGACTGTGGGCAACTGAGTCATCGTGCACTTGGGAAGACCGTCTCAGGCTCTTAAGGGCAAAGCACACGGGCCTGAACCAAGGCAGCGTGTAGGCGGCCCTCGTGCAGCTACACCCCTCCTTCCTGCATCCCACCAGTCCTTTCTGTCCATCCCTTCCTGCACCACCGTCCCAAAAGATGAGGGCTCATGGGCGCATGGGAACGTGCGTGTGAGCGGAGAGTGGACAGTGGAGAGTGGAGAGTGGAGAGTGGAGAACGGAAACGTTGAGGGTGTGTCTGGCTGTGACTGAGTGAGTGCATGAGTGTGTGCCTAGGTGCACGCGTGCGGGAGTGGGTGCCTGGGTGCACGAGCGCGCGCGTGTGTATCTGGGTGCATGTGTGTGCCTGAGTGCATGTATGCGCGCGTGTGCCTGGGTGCATGTGTGCGCGCCTGAGTGCATGTGTGCGCGCGTGTGCCTGGGTGCATGTGTGCGCGCCTGAGTGCATGTGTGCGCGCGTGTGCCTGGGTGCATGTGTGCGCGCCTGAGTGCATGTGTGCGCGCGTGTGCCTGGGTGCATGTGTGTGCCTGGGTGCATGTGTGTGCCTGTGTGTGCCTGGGTGCACGCGTGCGTGCCCGCCGCCGCGGTGACAGCTGACCGGTGCGAGCTCGCGCGGCGCGGGGCAGCCGGCGCCGCGGCCTTACCTCCAGCATGCCCCTCCTGCTCGCCCCGGCCGTGTCGATGAGCGTGTTGTCCAGGTCGAAGAACACTGCGCGGACGCGGCCAGGCCCCATGCTGGCCGCAAGGCTCCCGAAGTAGCCGCGGCGCTCGGACACCGCTCAAGCGCCCGCCGCGACGCTCTCGCGAGACCGCTGAGCCCCGCGCGTCCGCGCAGCAACTTCTCGCGAGACGGAGCGACGCGCGGCCGCTGCGGGCTCCTGCCCCGCCTCCTGCCAGTCGGGTTGGCGGGTAGCTCACCTGGCGGTACCGTTGCGGTGCTGAGTGCCGAGTGCGCGCGGTGCTGCTCCGAGCGCGCGGGAGCCCGGAGAGAGTCTGCAGCGTGTCCCGCCTGTCCCCACTGACACCAGAGTGCCTCCAGCGCTTAGTCTCCTCTTGGTCGCACTTTATCTACAATTTATGATTTTTTATTTCCTCGAGGGTTGGAACGATAGCCTAGCGGGTAGGGCATTTGCCTTGCACAGGGCCGACCCAGCTGACCCGGGTTCGATTCCTCCGCCCCTCTCGGAGAGCCCGGCAAGCTACCCTCACCTGCACAGCAAAAGCCTGGCAAGCTACCCATGACATATTTGATATGCCAAACACAGTAACAAGTCTCACAGTGGAGACACTGGGCCCGCTCCAGCAAATCCATGCACAATGGGAGGACTGTGCAGATAGTACAGTACAGTTATTTCCTCAAGAGCCCAAAATGCAGGTCTTGACTATCTTTCATGACCTCTGCAGGATGCGGACTAGAAGCTGGTCCTCAGAGAGGCTGGAGTGGTTGCACAGTGGGCAGCACACAGGAGGGACCCTTGGCGTGGCCCCCAAGAAACAACAGAAGCAGATCCTCCGCCAGAGTGGATGAACTTTTCCTCATTTCACTGCAAAACCCTCCAAATCTTTACCCAGAACCTGCCCAAATCTGTGGGGACTGTCCTGAAAACTCAGGAAGGTTAGTCTAGGTGTTGGGTAATGTTGGTTAGTGCATTCTCCTCTGCAGCAGGGAACTGAGCAGCACCCATCACAGTGCTCCTGGAGCACTCCTATTCCTCTTTAACTTCTCCTTTGTGCTCCGTTTTCTCTATCTGTTCATCGCTCATTTCCCCTAATCAGAACCTGTGACTTTGGGTTTTGAGTTCATATGTGAGGTACAGCTGCTTTTTTTTTTCCCTTTATTGTATTTTATTTTTTTTTTTAAAGTTGTAGATTTACAATTTTTTGTGCTTTGGTTTCAATTATACAATGATCAGATACCCATCCCTCCACCAGTGCCCATTTTCCACCACCATGGATAATATCCCTCCCACCCCCATCCCCCCATCCCCCCTGTCTCTGTGGCAGAGCAATCCCCTGTGTTCTCTCTCTCCTTTTGGGTGTTGTGGTCTGCAAAAGAGGCATTGAGTTGCAAACATGTTCAGTTCATAGTCTACTTTCGACATGCATCTCCCCTCCTGGGAGGATCCTCCAAACATCCTTTATTTGGTGCTCCCTTCTCTATCTGAACTGCCCTTTCCTCTAGGATACCTGGCTGGCCTCTAAGTTATGGAGTAATCCTCCTGGTGCTGATCTCAGCTATTCTTGGGTATTAATCTCATACTTTGTTACTTTATATCCCCCAGATGAATGCAATCTTTCTATGTCTATCCCTCTCTTTCTGACTCATTTCGCTTAGCATGATACTTTCCATATTGTACCACTTGTATGTAAATTTCATGACTTCATCTTTTCTAAGAGCTACATAGTACTCCATTGTGTAGATGTACCAAAGTTTCTTTAACCAGTCATCTGTTCTTGGGCACTCAGGTTTCTTCCAGTTTCTGGCTATTGTAAAGAGTGCTGCAATGAACAAACAAGTGCAGATGTCACTTCGACTATACATTTTTGCCTCTCTGGGATATATTCCCAGGAGTGGTATTGCTGGGTCAAATGGGAGCTCAATTTCTAATTTTTTGAGAATCGTCCATACTGTTTTCCAGAAGGGCTGAACCAGTGGACATTCCCACCAACAGTGAAGGAGTGTCCCTTTCTCGCCACATCCACGCCAGCATCGGTTGCTTTTGTTCTTTTGAATGTGGGCTAGTCTCTGAGGTGTGAGATGGTATCTCATTGTGGTTTTGATCTGCATCTCCCTGATGATTAATGATGTAGAGCATTTTCTCATGTGCTTTTTTGCCATTCGGATTTCTTCTTTGAGAAAGTTTCTGTTCATTTCATTGCCCCATTTTTGGATGGGGTTGGATGTTTTCTTCTTGTGGAGTTTAACCAGTATTTTGTATATCCTGGATATCAACCCCTTGTCAGATGTGTATTCGGTGAATATCCTTTCCCATTCTGTAGACTGTCTTTGTATTTTGGTCACTGTTTCTTTGGAGGTGCAGAAGCTTCTTAGTTTAAGATAGTCCCATTTATCTATCTCTGTTTTCACTTGCTCGGCCAGTGGCGTGGCATCTTTGAAGATACCATTAGCTTCAATGTCATGGAGGGTTTTGCCAACTTTATCTTCAATGTACCTTATGGTTTCTGGTCTGATGTTGAGGTCTTTAATCCATTTTGATCTTACTTTTGTACATGGTGTTAGGCAGAGTTCTGAGCCTATTTTTTTGCATGTAGCCGTCCAGTGATGCCAACACAATTTATTAAAGAGGCTTTCCTTACTCCACTTCACATTACTTGCACCTTTATCAAAGATTAGATGAGCATATGATTGAGGAGAGATGTCAGTGTATTCAACCCTGTTCCATTGGTCTGCAGTTCTGCCTTTGTTCCAGGTACAGCTGCTTTTTTCTTTCCCTATGTCCTTTGCAATTTACTTGGAGCAAAGTTCTTTTTTGTGTAGACACAGGAAGACAGTTGAAGCTGTGCTCTTGTTACATGAGAGTTAACTAACTGAATAATATTTACTCGTGGGCATCTGTCATATTTACTTGATTTAAGCCTCAGTTGCCCCAAAGCAGGGTCCCGATGAAAGGACATGGATCTAGGGAAAGATGTGAGAGCTACCTTGGCATCAAAATGGGACAGGCCAAGCACCATAAAACTTATAATAAATTAAGAGCATGGTCATGAACAAACTCTGTCATGACCCAAAAGAGGTAACTGAATAAGGACCCTGCTGGGGTTAGGAAAGACTAACCTGGCCTGAGGACTTGGTCTATATAGTGAGATGTCCCCCGGAAGAGCCAACCTTTAAACAACCTTTAAGCTTAATATATCCCTCACTGTGTCCATACAAAATGACTAGAAAGATTATTAAGAAGTAAATTTAAGATGACTGTTTAAATGATTACTAGTTAAGGAAAGGGGAAAGTAATATACTTTAGATGGAATTCTGCCCTTGGACTGATCTCCTAACAGGAGGCTAGTTCCTCCTAGAAGCTTCCCCAAAGGAAGGACTTTACATATGTTGATTGTGCTACTTCACCTATGTGTAATTGCTACCCCCAGCCTTGGTGGTTGGGCTCTCAACAAGCACCAGGGAGCCGGGAATGGGGCAGTGTGTATCTGGCATGGATATGAGGCTGGGAATAAAGTAAAGGCTACTGATCGGCAGCCTGGCCGCCCTGTTCCCTCCTTCATGTGTCCATCAGCGGTGGCCGGGAGTGAGGAATGCACGCCATGCGTGCCCACACTTTTTGAGCACACACTAGGTAAGAAGTGTGGCCCGTTTTTCCATATCCCTCCCACAGGCACTATAAGCCTTCACCAGGAATTCAACTCTCAGCCCTAGCACCAAGATTCAGTAGAATGAGGGAGAAATGTGCCCAAGAGGCTGTGTGGGCTTGAGACTTGGGATGGGTTGGGACAGCAGCGTCAGTGGCTGCTCTTAAATCTTAAATGGGAAACCCTCTGCTCTCCACTGGAGTTCCTTACCATCAGAGAGTTCTGGGGGACTCATAAGCTCTTAAAGATTATGAGCCTTTTATGAACTTGTCAGTTAATTGGTTAGGGTGTTAGCACATGTTTGGGGGTGGTTGGGATCCTTTAGCTGGATATACAAATATTTCCCTTATGGGTTTTTTTGGTATGCCCCCACCCAGGTGGCATTATCCATCTCTTCCAGGTACCTGTCCTGAGTGGGCAAAAGAAAGGGCTATCTGGGGTGTATCTGGATATTCAAGAGAAATCAGTATTTTCTTGAGAATATCTTGGAATGCTGGATTACATGGCAGTTATCTATCACTGAGAAGGAGACAGGAAAAGCTACCGTCCCACACCAGCAGAGTGGGCAGCATAACTGTGGAGTACCTGGAGCACAACTGTAGGAGAGCCACTACAGCTGACATGTGTTGGAGGACCGGGTTCTAATATTAATTTAAAACTGAACAGGCTGGGCTGGAGAGATAGCACAGTGGGTAGGGTGTTTGCCTTGCACGGGCCGACCCGAGTTCAATTCCCAGCATCCCATATGGTCCCCTGAGCACCGCCAGGAGTAATTCCTGAGTGCAAGAGCCAGGAGTAACCCCTGTGCATCGCCAGGTGTGACCCAAAAAGCCAAAAAAAACCCCAAAACTGAACAGGCTGCTCCTGTGTCTCATCCTAACAGTCCTACTGTGCTCTGCAGTGTCACTCTGTCTCCCTTCTGTGGCACTGGTGGCTTTTCCAGGAGTCCAGGACCTGCTCCTGCTACTGCCTGGCCTGTGTTCTGGGAGGGGTGGGCTTAGATGGTTTGATGCCTTGGGGAGAGAAGGGATGCAGTGAGGAATCACACTCATATTCAGAAACCCAAGGAACTGGGGGTCCTTCATGCCACTGGTGTCCTGGTGACCAAAGTCTAGCATGTTCTCTTCATGTGCTCATCTCAAGCGAATACTTGGAGTGGATCCTGCTTCTCACCAACTCAGTAACTGTCCCTCAGCCCCTGATCCACCCCCAACCGAGTCCTGAACCCCTCAGGACTTTCCTCTAGGAACTTCCTAGGAAAGGACCCTCAAATGTATCCCAGGGTGTACGGTCTATGTCCCTCAGGTTCCCCCAACATCTTAATAGGCTCTGGGGGCACTTGGGATCTGACCCCCTAGTGTCTCTTTCCCATGAGATCCTGCCTTTCTCTTGTTCCTTTGGGTCCCTGGTCTGAAATAAAACCTTCATATTTAATGAAAAAGA